GGGGGGGGGGGAGAGGGGAGAATACATGGTAGACGAAGCAGTTGGGAAGGGAGAAAGGGAAAAAATTCTCTAGTAGGAGGTGTATCTTAAACTAGTGACTGCTTTTTTCCGACAATGACGCGTTGCTCTTACTCCAGGGCCGCCAGATTTTCCATGTTTGCAGTATTATAAGTTATCATGGATATGTTGGTGGATGCAGACCATGACAATTAAAATAAAATAAAAAGACTAAATTGATCAATGCCATGCAAGCCTGTCATTTGTGTTGAAGCAGAGCGATTCGGCAAAAGTAGCCCGAGAAAATACAGTTCTGACCCGGATTCTTTTGTCCTCCACTTTTGGGAAGAGCCGATCTCTCCCCACCCCCGCCCCCACCCCCGCCTTTGTTTACTTTTTAGACCAAAGATTGGGTTTTAGAAAATGCACTCGGTGTACGAAATGTTTGTTTTGGGGTTTATTTTTGTTTTTTGTTTTTTTTAAAAAAATAATAATAATGAAATCGAACAAGACAGAGCGCTAACATTTTCAGTTTTTTGCAGCACTGCCCATTCCAATGAATCCGAGGGGACAAAATAAATAAATAAATCATGAATTGCCTTCAGTTTGTGTTGTGTATATTTTGATGTATGTGGTCACTAACAGGTCACCTTTATTTTTTTTTAAATGTAGTGAAATGTTAATACCTATTGTACTTATAGGTAAACCTTGCAAATATGTAACCTGTGTTGCGCAAATGCCGCATAAATTTGAGTGATTGTTAATGTCGTCTTTTAAAAAAAATCTTGATTGTGATACTGTGGTCATATGCCCGTGTTTGTCACTTACAAAAAAAATGTTTACTATGAACACACAGAAATAAAAAAATAGGCTAAATTCATATATACTCAATAGTTCTTTTGTCTCTTTGTATCGAGGAGTAGTAATATTTAAGATGGAGGGACCCGTAGGCCCTCGTGTTTTTAGAACTGCTCCTTCCTTGGCCAGAATACCTGTTAATCTGATTCTTAAATTTTAAAAGGAAGGATCCAACTCACAGTCGACAGTTATGCTAGTTAAATTCAAGATTTTGCACAGGTTGCCTTAAGCCGTGCATAGCCGACCTAACCAGGAGGGGAATTCTTCCTCTTTAGCATTTGTGTCTTAAACCGGCTTCTTAGAAAGGTTTAGTTGTGTGGGTGTCCCCACCACCACCACTTCAATGCATGCTGGCCGGCCTTCCTGGCTTCTCTCTGTGGAAATCAATCTCCCCCCCCTCCCATTTCTTTCTCAACCACATGGGTTTCAATAGGACGTGCTGCTATCTTGAATATACTCGCGAGGAAGCCAGGGCCCATTTCTCCAGGAAGTTTTTTAGGAGCGGACTGTTAAGTGACAGTTATCTGAGGAACAAGCAGCTAGCTAGGCAAACGGGCAGACTTCAAATCGGACCCCTCCCCGTAGCCCTATATGCATGTGAATGTGTAAGTGCCGATGTTATGTATGTACATAAACACAGCTCCTTACTTCCCTTACTTCGTGAGTGCGTTTAAAGGCACAGTGACTTTTAATGCTGCAAACATCGTCGTTGTCAAAGTATCTCTATTTGCAATGAGCCCCCCCCCCTTGTTGGCCTATCTCCGTCCATTAAAAAAAACACTCAGGGTTTTGTTGTGTTGTGTGTGTGTGGGGGGGAAGTACTGCAGTGATATCATGAACTGTGCCAGAGTTTCACCTTTTTCAAAGTGCTTGCAGCTGCAATGAACCCTGTTGATTTTTTTTTTAATATCCTGTTCTCAAGAGCCTTTTAACTGAATCCCCAGTTGTCGGTTTAGCTTTCGGTTGCTGGCCGCTCGATCCTCTTGGTTTTTGTTTTGTTTTGTTTAGGAAAAGAGAGGTTGGTGTCTGAAGTGGGGGGGGTGAGAAAGAGAGGAAAAATCGGTTCTGGGAAGAATTTCGGGGAAGAAGGAGAGCAATTCTTGCAAATCGTTGGCAAACCTGCGCCGAGAGTTTCCTAGCTAATTGGATCCCGCAGCGAGTCCGTGGAGGACAAGTTGTTCATTTGTTACAATGGTGTAGTCTCCCAAGTGTTCGGCAATAATGCAATAAGCCGGCTCTTTCTCACAATGGGGGGAAGGAAAAAGAATCTCTTTTCCTGGAGATGTTATCGGCCAGCACTTTAAAGAGGAGAGCTCCAAAAGAGAGGGGGGGAGAGAGAGAGAGTCGAGGCGACTGAGAGGAGCAGATGTGACAGTGTTGATATCAGTGGGAGACAAGGAAGAGGTGGGGGAAAGGCAGATATTCTGGAAATCCAACGAAAGGAAAGGGGGCTTGAAAGGTTAAAAGAGAAAATGGAGGTGGGGGGAGGAGGCAAAGGTGAAGGGACTTCCTTAGTTTGCCGCGAAATTCAAGCAAAGGTGACTTGGAAGCAGCGGAAACCTTCAGGGCCTTTCCCAGCTTCTTGAAAAGCCAGAGCATGCAGAATTGCTAGCCCACCATTAAAAATTGAGTTTATTTTAAAGAGAAGGGGGTGGGAGGTGCAGTCCTGCAAAAAAATGACTGGGGTGCAAGGGGCGGTTGTCCTACAGACAGGTTAATCTTGAAGACTTCCGGAAACCAAGCACCAAATAAATAAATAAATAAATAAATAAATAAATAAATAAATCTGTGCTGGTTTCCAGCCTGGACTCCCCGTTCAGTGACATTTGCCAGTGCGGAGCCGGGGAGGAGAGGCGTCTGGTGGCGCAGCTGACAGGGGTTGATGCATTATTTAACACTTGCCACGGGTCGCATCTTGTGGGGAATCCGGCCGCCTGGCTGAGACCCGCGGGCCCTGTGGCAGTGGCAGACGGGGGGGGGGGGGGGAGAAATCCCAGCTCTGGTCTGAGTGCCTGCCTGCTCACTGGTTGCAGGGTGGGTGCGTAGAAGAGGGGGAAGCGCGACCCAGTCACTGCAAGCCTACTCGAAGGCCTGGGGTACTAAGCACGGGTTCGGGAAGCTGGGTGGAGACCCCGGGGCTGAGCAGCCAGGTGGGGACGGGACGGTCGGGTTCCTTCGACGGGCCTTGCGGGGCCTTGCAGGGGACAGCCAGGCGTTGGGGGGTTGCTTCCGCTGGTCCAAGCCGCTCAGGTGGCGGGGGAGGGGAGAGGAAGAGAGGGGGTGGGCGCAGGGCTGGAGCTGCTGGGGTCGCTGCTGCTGCCGCCCTTAGGCTTGTACCCCGCTTCAGGCGGCCTAGCCAGGGCAGAGAAGGCGGCCTATAAATCGGAAAGGAAGATCTCGAGCTAAAGAGCTGATCGAGCTCCTCTCCAGTCGTTCAGTTTTATTTTGGAGTCACCTTTTATTGTTACTTGTTTTCTTTCCAAAACCAGGACAACATACATTTGACGGCCCTGTTCCTTCCCAGAACACCTCCTTTGTGGGACCCCCCCTCCGACCATTTGTCCCTTCTAGATGTCTGGTGGGGACCCATCTCCACCACAGAAACTGAGACAAAAGGCGCTGCTCCAGCATCCGCATTCGATTCCATATTAGTTTGGTTTCCCGAAAAGTTTTCATGGGTGAGGTCCTGAAGGCAAATATTTATTTTTTAAACGGTGTCACCCCAACACCACCGCCATAAACATACAATAACTACGAAATTAATCAATTAAGGTAAATGTGCTGTAGATGAGTTTGTATTATGCTTTCTTATACAAGAGGGGGACCTGGACTGTGAAGGCTTGGAAACCTCCTTTCCACCCGCCCCAGATATTTCGGCTTGGCTTTGTTTGGTTCGGGTGGATTGGGGCGGACTGTGTGGCCTTCTTGAAGCGTCCGAAATTATTTCCTAATGTAAAGCAAAAAAGCAAAAAAAAAAGGTAGCCGAGGAAGGAGACGTTGAACACGGAATGCGCCCGAGGGTTTCCCAGGCCTGCTGTAGGCCTCCTTCCCTCGCACGACCCAGGCGTTTCCAGCCTGGCTGCAAGGGCGGCGGGCCCCGGATCTGGCCTAGAAAGGTGCCGGCAGAGGGACCCTGGAAAGCCAGCCGCGCTTGTCCTGGGGTGGACGGCAGGCTTCCGTCTGCCTCGACTGACTGGTCTCTCGGACGTCCACTTAAAACAAACCAAAATGCAACCCCTGCCTCCGCCGGGCCGCCCTGGCCCGGGGTCTCTGGCGCTGAGTGGCAATTGGCTTTCAGATGCCCTTCGCCGCCCTCCTTTCTCCCCCTCCTCACGTTTCCTTCTTTGGCCTCGGAAACTTGAAGCCGTTTCTTTCTCCGCTTCCACTTGCCTCGGAAGTCACTCCAGAACCTCATCCCCGGGGGAGTCTGGGACAAAGGCCCGCATTTCCGAGCGCGTCCTCGGAGTCCTGTAATGGGACCAGGGCTGGAACATCTCGGACCTTCTCTCTTCCCTTTGAACGAACGGCCTTCTCCGCGGACCGATTTGCATATGAATTGAGCCCCCCCCCCCCCCCGCGCTGCATATTTCTACAGGAGCTGCTGGCCAGTAGCCGCCTCCGCTCGCCTCCTTGCCTTCGGGAGGCCTTTGCTTGTTTGGCCTGCGGGGGGGGGGCGGTAGACCCAATCCGAGGGGCAGCACTCGCCCGGGCTTGCTCGGGAGGAGGCCTCGAGGGCGGCTCGGCCGGGCCGGGGCAGTGGCGGCGGGAGGCGCTCTGGGTTAGCACGAGGTGAAGCTCATTAGGCCTGGCGGGGCTGGCGGCGGCGGCGGCGGCTCTTTTGGCTGGCTC